TAAACACTAGTCTAGAACTTTTCCCCCCTGAAGGGAGATGGTTAGGATTAAGGCTTACCGTGAAGAACTTGGCTTCTATTATACTATTTTAGATGCGGATTTTTGCGTTTTTGATTGCGTTTTAATAGGGTACATCGAGAGAATGTACATTAAGAAGAAATTTTTCGAAAAATTTCCCCCCACGGGAATTGCTATACATTTATAATAGTTACATTTTGAGCCACAACAATGCATGGCAGGGTCTGCTAGTATATATATAAAAATGTATACATACATAAACGTTATGTCACAGTCATCATATTCACAGGTGGTAAACACGTGAATGTGCATGTACAGTACACTAACAAAGCAATAGATAAGTAAATATTTCACCATTTAATGTATGTGATTTTGTAGGAATGGAAGTATTCATTCAACTGAAACTCGATCAGTTGTGATCCCTCCTCCACCTCCACCAGAAATTGATCAGCAGCCAGAACTGGAAGCTGAGTCACCTAAATCAGATTGGGAAGAAGTAGATGAACAATCCCCAATTGAAGAACAACCTGAAATGGATACATCTGAGTTGACTTCTACTCAACCAGGTAAATTAGTATATGATTATTATGATTCTTTTTTAGGATCTATAATGAAATATATCAAAAATGTGATGAAAAATATTTTTTTATGTTATAAAGCAATTTATTTCTACTTGCTATGTTCTGTTCAATTTTCGTTTGATTCTAAATGTTACTCCTTTTTATAATGTTTAATTTTTATTACAATGTGAAACTACTAGAAGATTTCAAAATTTTATTTGAAACTGTAGTTACTTGTTAGAAATATAATTACTAAATGAATTGCAAATAATTGTACTTAAGAGAGATGATAGATTAACCATATAGTAACTACACTCAAGCTAGCATTTATCATGTTCAATATGAAATCTTTGTTTTAAATAAATTTTTTTCTTCCAGTGTGTTGCTTTTGTAGAATGATTTTATTTAGAAAACTGTCTCTTAATTAATGATTATTTCTCCTGAAACAGTTTCTTTTAGGGTGAAAATTAAACAAACTTTTTTCATTTATATGATTTACAATATCAGGGAGTATATTAAATCAATGTGTCATAATAAATTTGAAGTGGGATTACTGGATTATTCAGATTATTTATGCAAGTGAATTTTTGCTGTACTTTGTTTATGTAATTTTTGTAGCTAGATCATATGTACAATTAAAAATATATATTATATTTTTTTTTAATTTAAAATCAGGAGAAAACTAGTTGTAAATATTTTATGGGTTGCATATTTAACCTATTCAATGTTGAAATTTTTATTTGTTGCCTGTGACACCATGTTGAATTTTCGTCTATGTTAAGCCTAAAAATTTTTTAAATAATAATCGCGTTTATTGTTAAAAATGATTTTTTTATGTTACACAAGCAAAATAAATATATTGAATAATATAGAAACAAAAAAATTATATTTTAAAAGTTTGTTTTAATATTAAAAAATTGTGACACATAGCGACATCTAGTATCAAAAACATTCTGATGTAAACAGGAAAATATTCGGGATCGCCCACGCTGGTCAGTGAGGTCAACACGAATATTTTCGGGAACAACGTAGGACAGTTTAAAACACAATGTAAATACGATAGGAATTAATTATAGTAATGAATGTTTAAAAGAAATTTAAAAGATGTTTACATAAACACTAGTCTAGAACTTTTATAGAAAATCACAAATGAATTCAAATTGTAAAGCTAAATACAGTAGAGCGTCGTTTATTTGAAACGTCTGTTATCCGAAAGCATTCCAGTTGGCAAATTTAAATTTTCGCCAGTGTTGTGGCACTGCAATCTTTGGCTATGTCTTGGGCTACTCAAATATTTGACGTTTTTGATACTAAATTAACTTCTGAAGTATAATTTTTTATTGTTTTTTATATTTTTCAATAAATTTAATTTGTTTGTACAAAATAAAGAAATAATTTTTAACAATACAATAGTCTTCGTTAGGCTTAACATTGACAAAAATTCAACGCGAAGCGACACGCAACGGAGAAAAATTTCAACATGGGATAAATTAATCTATTTTTTTGTACATGATTCATTATCCGAAAAATAAGTTATCCGAACCACCCCAGTCCCCAATTGATTCGGATAAATGACGCTCTACTGTACTTTTATTAACCACATAATGGCTTGTATTTTTATATTTGGATTTGTTACATTTTTATAATTATGTTCAAGTTGTTTTGATAATTAAGAATAATGTTTTTTCTTGCAGAACCAAAAACTTATGCAAATATGGTGAGCAAAAATGCTCCAACTACTGGATTTGTCAACAATACAGTAATTGGTACAACTAGTCCAGCCACTGTTGGTACACATTCACCAACACAAAATAAAGCTGAAGTGAATAAATCTGAACAGAGCAATGCTTCGGTTTCACCTAGTGGAAATCAACCACAAGCACAACGGATATCAAGATCTGTAAGGCCTGCTCCTGTAGTGAAGATTGTAAGAGAATCGGTTATTGTTAATCCAAGTGGAAGAGCTGAAGACAGTGGAGGTGAAGGAGAAAAACGCAAGCCTCCATTAACACAGTATCCAGATACACAACAATTATTTGTGGGAAATTTAACTCATACAATAACAGAAGATGAATTAAAACATCATTTTATGCAATATGGAAATGTATTAGAAATGCGGATTAATACAAAACAAACTCAGAAAATGGGTAGTAGTGGAAAAGTGCCGGTAAGTAGCATGATTTATAATAATTATGATAAACAACTTTCAAATTTGTATCCATAATTTTTCTAATAAGTATTATTTTTATAATTGTTTAATATATTGATATATATCTGCAGATCTGTTAATCGTATTTAAAGAAACTTTTATATTTAAAATGGCATAGAAAGTTTTTTGTTAAATCCTATTATGCGCAAATTAAATAGTTGTTTAAAAATATATTAATTTGAAAAAACTTATTATTAATTTTATTGTGGTGGATTTTTTTAAATACAGCTGTATTTTGTATGAATTGTACTTCAGAAGTTTTTCTTAATATGAAATATAATTATTGATATTCAAGGAAATGTCTCGTTTAAAATTTTAATTATTACTATGTATGCTTTCAAGAAAAATATTCTAATGATATAATAGTTACACAAAATGAATTTATGAGAATAGTATATTCATAGATTTAGAATTAGCACTATTATTATTATGTTATTTATCATCAATCAATCAAATAAGATTTTATTCATATACCATATGATTAGACTTAAACTTTTTAATATTTTACTTTGATCTATGGATTTTCTTTTTTTGCATTGTAACAATGACGTAAATACAATTTTTTTTTTCCCTTTAGAATTTTGGATTTATTGTCTTTGAAGATCCTGATTCTGTTCATAAAGTTCTGGAAAAGAAAGTGAGTTATAAATTATAGTTTTGATGACAATTTTATATATATATATATATTCTCATTCCCTGCCCACTAGTGACCAAGCGGTTCTGTTCCCTGAACACTGGGAGTTCGGTTGTGGGTTCGTGCCATGCCCAGACAGGCTGGCCACATAGTTTTCTGGTTTTCTCTAATTGGTAATGTCTGAATATGAGCCAGTTACCCTTAAAAACACCTCTCGGAAGGCACCCCGTAGGCAGATCACCAAGTGTTGCATTGCCGTAACTTAACTAAACAAACTCAGACTTTCCCAGCACAGTATTTGATTTGCAACCATCGTACATGAAAAATCAGTCATATTATTTAAAATTTGGAATTAAAATAATATATTAATGTAAAGTGTACATTTTGTTGTTTTAAATTTAATTTCATAATGACTGCATCTTTTGATCCATTTCTGTTTTATCTATCTAGCCTTTCTCTTTTGTTTTCTCCATTATTATTAAAAAGTTTCTTCAATTTGATTTAGCTACATAAAATCAATATTTACTAGTGATTGGTAATAAAAAAAATTTCTCCAAATGATCAATTTTCTCAGATAATTAATTATGATAAATAAAATCTCAGATAAATGATCTACTAATTCAAACCTTTTGTCACTATTATATGTAGAAAACTTTATTGAAATTCTCATTTAGACTAGTGCTGGCAGAAACTGGAAATTTTCTTAATCTGGTTTCAGCAAAACTGGTTTTTAAATATCATATGCCAAACTGGTTTGAATTCAGTATAGTTAACATTTTATTAAAAGTATTATAGTAAATATTTATTATTCAATATTAATTTATTTGCCTGTATCACATAGTACTTTTATCAAAAAGAGGCCAGTGGTTTTTTTTCCTTCTTCTTCTTTCTTTTTATGTTGGTAAATGCTGGGGTCTAAGTATTTAACAAATAGCATTTGGAAACTGTTTTAAACTAAATTTATGTTAGTTTTCACATAACTTTTAAATTTTAAACACAAGTAATGCATGGCATTATTTTAAAAAAGTCAAAGATGGTATATTGGTGCCATGTACAAATTAATGTTATACTGAAATTTTCCAGTAATATACATTACAAATCCAAATAAACTTCACTTCCAATTAAAAGTCAGAAAAGGCAAGTAAACCTAATGATTCCAGTTTCATTGCCTGGTTTTTAGTTTTGCAAAAGATGTGGTTTAACCAAATGCCAGTTGATCATATTTAAAAAGAAAAAAAAAACAGTTTTTTGCCAAAACTAATTCAAATTAATGTTTATTGACACTGATTGTTACTGTACATTTTATAATTTAAACAGTATTTTTATCAGATTGGTGGCATCTATTTTTCAATGTTATTCAAAGTTCAAATAAAATCTAAAATTGGCTAACTTCAATTTTTCCTATAGAATTTATGGTTTATTAAAAAAGTATTTTGTTAAATTTTAGAGTTAAAACAAAATAACTGATTCTAAAGCACTTTCATTTTTTAAAAAAAATTTAACTTGATACTGATTTTACTATACGGGAAGGCACATAATTATGTACTCTTTATTTTATTTTTGAAATACGTACTTGGGATTAGTATGTTGTATCCATTACTAGGTATGTTTCCTGTTTAGTTGAAGGATTTTCAATTCCTTACTGGTTGTCAACATGGCACTCCACAGAATTGATGCATAAACTTGTGTCTTCTAGTCTCTTCAAAAACTTTGTCTAAAATGACCAGGATGGTGAATCTTTGGTATCTTTGATGCACACTGTCAACTACTGGTTAGCCCTCAATTTTATTATATAAATTCTATCTTTGATGAAACTACATGAGAGGAAGTCTAATAGGGGAATGTTAACAAGCATGGGGGATCATGGCAATAAATTTCACACCTGACCCATATCCAGGGATTATGAACAAACCATAACCAATGCAATAGGGCTCTATCTAGCAGCAGAAACATTTGATCATTCAGTAGCATGAAAATATTCCTTGGTGATAGTAGTGCAGCCAGAAATTTAGCAGGGAGTGCAGCTTAAAAATTCAGAAATACTCAATGTTGTTTGAATAAAACTGAAGTGCAAAAATATACATATTATATATTACCTATAGTGTATTTGACTTGCTTACAGCAGTTGAATCTAGACATTAATAATTTTGTGAAAAAGTTAAAATAATTTCAAAATTTTCTAATTGACTTTAAAAAAAAACTGTAGTTTAGAAAACAGCATTTATGACAACTTTGAATTAGTAACAAATTATAACATGTTCATTAATTAACAAGGCTTTGGATTTTTCTCATTCCCTGCTTAGCATCTCAACTGTTTTCATTATAGAAGTTTTCTTTTTATAAGAAACTTTGCAGTCCAAGTTTTGTCCTTAGCTGGTGTTTACTTAGTGGCAGCTACATGATATTATGGTGTTTATATATATATATATATATAAGGAGATAAAATTAATATGGATAGTGTAGTTGATTTTGATTTTAGTGAAACTGACAGACCAGTTTCAAAATTTGGCAGTAATTCTTTTGATCTAGCTACCACTGAACAGGAAAATGAAGATGGATTTTTTCTCAGCTGAGAATATAACAAAAGTTGTGCATCACCAGAGACAAAGAAGAAACAAAAGTTTGAGCACATCACCATAATCAATGGTTGGACCAGAATTGTTATAAAATATATTTCTAACAATTCTGGTCCAACCATTGATTATGGTGATGTGCTGCAAACACTTAAATACTTTTTTGACAATTTACTGGATATTATACAAAAGAAACTTTAAAAATATATCAATTGGTGCATATCTAACTCTGAGGAATTATATCATGATCTAACATTCAATGAACTTTAAATTTGCTTTATGCTATCAATCTTGCAAAATGTTATACAGAAACCAGAATTTCAGATGTATTGATCTCTCCAGACAAGCATTGCATTTCCATTTTTCAACAAAGTTATGTCATACAAAATATTCTGCCTGATCTGAAAACATTACACTTTTCTGACAGTGAAGTATCTGATTCCTCAAATTATCCATGCCTTGAAGCTAAACAAGATTTGGCCAGTGTGCCAATATCTACAAAATAAATTTCAATCTTCTTAAATATCCAAAAAAGTATATTACCATGGATAAGAGATGTCTTTGTAAGGGTTGGCTTGGATAGGTTCATTATATCCCATTCAAAAAGGGAATGATTTGAAATAAAGTTTTATATGCTGTGCCAATTTATTAGTGTATATATATGGTCTATAATTATTTACACTGAAAAAAGTACAAAGTTTGACACAGAATTTGCAAATTTCCTAATGTATGCAAGTGTTCTGACTCTCCCAAACCACTCCTGAAACAAAGTTATGACCTAACAATGGACAATTATTGTGTATCCACAGCTGAAAAATTTTCTGATTTCAAATTCTATGGATATATATGGAATGGTGAAAATAATGTGCAAAGACATGCCACATTCCCTAAAATGTAAATTACAAAAGGGAGAAATTTATGCTTAAAGAAGAGGATGTGTCCTTGTTTTACAATGAAAGGACAAAAAGGATGTAGTCATTTTCTTAACAGTGCACAACTGTAATAATGATTTTTCTTATTTCGGAGTTAATTTAGGATAGTAATTTATATCCATAACTGCCTGAATTATCTACTTGGTTTTTTTGGAATATAATTGGAAACTATTATTAATTAGAGTAGCATCTTTCCAAATAGATCTAAAAGTAGTTACAAAAAATTCAGATTACTTTTGACTCATACTTGAGAAAATAGATACTTCAGGGGATTAAACTGATATTCTTATATATCAGTAATTTGTTAGTTAAACATCATAATTAAATGTTTTGCTGATTTTTTTTTCATAAAAATATTTATATTGTATTAATATACAATATAAGTATCATGAGAGTTGAATGTATTTTATTATTATTTGACTGTACACCTTATAATTAGGAGTGAATTAATATATTTAAAATGCTTGAAAATTAGTTTTAAATTTAATATCAATTTTTTAAAGTTCTAAAAAGTATCGTTGTGAACATAAGCTTTTGTTTAGACTTGCTTATGCTGGGATCTATATTGTTTTTTGATGGCCAACAACAGTTAAGTATGGGGAAAATTGTCTAAACCAGGGGTTGACAACCTATGGCATGCAGGATGATTTTCAGTGGCACTCTGACTGAATAGAAAAATAGTAAAAGTTATATTTTAATTATTAATTACACATTTAAATGAAAGCCATAGTTCAGTATTGGCTGTGGTACATTAAAAATGAATCTCTTGCTTGTATATTTATGTTATGGTGCATGCATTTATGCTCCGTATCGCCATCTGGGTGTTGTGTGCGCGCTTCACGTGTAAGAATATAATTCAATTAACAACTTAACTTCAAAATTATATATTTTTGAAGTCCGTTATAACTGGACCAGTTCTGATAATATTGTATATACGTAGTATGATTCAAAAGTTTGGGGACGTGGCTTAAAATTCCTTACCTTAAAAAGTTTATATTGCCGATGCATAACCACCTTTAAAGTAATCACCTTTGGCAATGATACACTTTTGCCAGTGCTTGTATAACTTTTGGAAGCGCTGCTGGAAGCCATTTTTTGAAGGCCTCCTGTGGTGCTGCTCTCACCTCATCTGATGACACAAAACGGCATTCCTGCAAATGCTTTTTCATTGATGGAAACAAATAAAAATCACATGGGGCTAAGTCCGGTGAATAGGCGGGGTGGGGAAGCACACTAATTTGAGTTTTGGCGAGAAATTGTGTGACCATTTGGGACTGATGTGCAGGTGTGTTGTCATGCAGAAGGTACCAGTCTCCACTTTGCCAGATCTGTGGCCATTTATGACAAATGGATTCCCTCAAACGACATAAAATGTCTAGATAATGCTCCTTGTTTACTGTTCTGCCTTCAGGAATAAATTCTGAATGAACAGTTCCTTGAGAATCAAAAAACCTCCATCATGACTTTTTTCTTTGCTCGGTGCATGTTAAGATCTTCCGTTAAAATACGCTGACAACTAGTCTTTTGATAAGTGAGTAGCCGCAGCAATTTCTTCAAGGGTTTGGTGACGATCTTTGTGAACACATTGAGAGACCAACTCAACATGACTTCATGGAATGAGAAATCATTCCATGAAGTCTAAGTTAGGCCAGAGCATTCATCATCTGCGATGGATTCTCGACCCTCTTTAAAACGCCAGTGCCATTTGTACATCTTTGATTTCACCATGGTAAAATCATCGTACACCTTTCTTAGCAATTTTAAAGTCTCCATAGGTGTTTTACCTAAACACTGACAAAATTTAGCGTTGCCGCGCTGTTCTTGAAACTTCATTTTTATTACGTCGCAAAACAGGTAACTCTGAAAGAAAACAATAGCACTCGCGGTTTAATCATGTGACATGGGTGAAACCAACCTGAACATGTAGGAAAGGTTTGATAGAATCAATTTCATACGCTGTAACTTTAAATACATGCTTTTGTTGTCATACCTTACTGCAGTCCCTGAACTTTTGGATCATACCACGTATAATAAAATTGGTACAATCATATTGGCACCTGGTATAAATTAGGTTTCAGCACAACAATGCTGATAGGTTGACAACCCCTGGTCTAAACCAAAGCTTAGATTAAGAATTTTTTTGTCATTTATCTATAAACTGATAAGATTTTCATGGCATTCAACTTATTATTATTATTATTATTATTATTATTACTTTTAAGAGGATATATATAAATATAATTAAATACAGGTATCCCTCATATAGCATAGCACTTTTTTGGAATGTAACTACCATTTTTTGAGAATCTGTGCTATAGGAAAACAATGGATTAATGCAAAATTTAGGGTTGTTCCAAAAATTAGTAAAAGTATACTGTGCTTTTCTGTGACAGACACCAAGAAGAAAAATATGTTTATTAAAGCAATTGATAATTTATTTCTAATCAATAATTAGTTAACAGTTAGAATTAAAAGTACTGTATTATGTGTTAATTTTAGTTAAATGTGGACATTTTCTCTTTACAAATTATTGTCGTCATCTCAGCTTTTTCATTGATCTTGATCAGAAGTATCAACAACATTTTCATATTTTTTATTTTTAACATTTTTATGGATGACAAAAATAAAATTATGTTGTTAATAAAAAATTTGTACTAGCAGGTTGCTTTTGTTCAGTCAAGTACAGAGTGACCTTTTTCCAGAATTTGTGTTCAAAACAGAATTGTTTGAGTACTGAGATGCTGCTGTATTTCATTTGTCATTTTTAATACCTATCTACAGTTAAAAATGTTATAATAAACTTTGCTAAATATGAAGATTAATCTATAAAAAGAAAAACTGTTACAATCTTAAGAGCTAAAGTCTGAAAACAATGATGACGACATCTGGTTGATAGGAAAGTTAGTGCAATTTTTTTCTTCCTTGTTCTACTATTGGTTTTCATTAAAGTAAACTTGATGAAAAGCACAAAATAATTTGAAAATTTTAATATTATAAAATCCGTAGACAAATTTGAGATGACACATGGGCATACTTGAATTTAAAAAAAATTATTGAATAATGAAGTTTAAAATTAAAAATTATGAAATTTTTTATGGAAGATTTCCAAAATGTGTTGTAGAAGTACTGAGTTGTAGAAGGGATACCTGTATTTTTAAGCTAAATAATATAAAACATTTCTATTGGCATAATTGTAAAAATTAAGAAAACAAATTTTTAGTTTACAAAAATTCAAAAAAATGTTTATTTTTATTAACTTTTTAATAATATATATGTATGTTTTCTAGCCAATTTTCTTCAATGGCCATCGTTTGAATGTTGAAGAAAAGAAAACAAAGCCCCGAGACCAAAGAATAGGTGATGGTCGCATTGGTATAGGAAGGAGTGGTATGATGGGAAGGGGCGGATTAGGAGGTCGAGGAGGTGGTCGGGGTGGCATGGGTGGCCCCCAAGGTACCGGCAGAGGAGAGATTCGTGGAGGTGGAAGAGGAGGCAATTATGGTCCACGCCGTTAAAGTTAATTGAAAATATGAATGAATGATTATTGTGATGTCCATACTGTCTACCATATGCGGCTCTGGTGCCTGAAATGCAGTTTAAGGTGAACCAGGGTAATTGTGATCATAAAAATATTTGACAATAGTTGGGCCAAAATAACGTCGTTTCTAACAAGACTTATCATAATGATGGACAAAGAAGAACATAAAATTATGTCATGTGAACAATTCTCATCTTCATTTATTTAATTAATTTGTATGGAATTATAAATATCCTTTGATTAGTGTTTCTTCCAAGAATGGGGTAAAAGTGATTTTGTTGTTTATGCTTAAAAGTTGTGAGTATTGTTTTTAAAGTGGTATTGATGTGTTAAACTAATGAAATGTCTAAGAATAATAATAAGGTAATTTACAAATATCTGAATTAAAATAGAAAACATAGTAATATTTTTACAATAATTGTATAGAAAGATGAAAACTGAATACTATATTAACAATACATGTAAATCTTTGTTAATATTATTAGTCTTCAGTTGACTAGTTAAAGTTTTAAAGTTAATGTGAATAAGACAGTAAAATATCCTTATTTACAAAAATCACAATGTTATTTCAGTGTTTTAAATTGTTATTGCAAATAATTCACTTTTTATTTGTTGACATCATCAGTTTAGAATTTGGAATCGAACATAGTATTATGGATTATTGACGAATCTTAATTCAACTCTTCAAGAATTCATAATAAAAATCACATTTGCCCCATTAATACTTTTAATGAAAACTTTGTTTTGAATTTGTTGTTATAAAGTGCTGACTTTAAAATACTCTGTTTTTCTCCCAATAGACTTTTATTAAAATGGGTGTTTATCCTGAAAAAATACATATATATTTATATATATATATATATACTTACACTTATATATACTTATATATATGTAATGTTTGTTTGTTCTTATATTGTATCATATTTTATANACTGTAAGCATTTTCAATTATTTCAATTACAATGATTCTCATCTGGTTCTGATCAAACAAAAAGTTTAAATAACATTCTATAAATTTAAATATATGCCCTCATTGCTCATGGCACTATCAAAGAATATATCAGTAATAACATAAGTAAATCAAAATTAATATATTAAACATATAAAAATTGATGTTTATATTCCACTATTAAAATTTCAATAAAAGTTTCAGTTTGTTGATGATTTTCTCATATAGAACTTTCCATGCACTAAACAGGGAGTTCAGATTTTGTGCATTGATAATTATCAATATGGCCGTGTTTGAAGACTTCATCATCACACAATTAGCTAAATACAGTATCTTGAATTGATCTTATTCAGATTTTATTCAGTTTTTGTTTAACAATATATTGCTAGTGATGCAAGAGTGGCAGATTATGGTGGCTGTCACATTTATGCTTCCTAATTCTTTCTGTCAAAAATTTCAGTATTCTGATATACATGGTTCTAGTTCAAAACCTGTTATCAATTGTAGTTATTGAATAAAAACGCTTCAATTTATGTAATGGATTTTATTACTACTAGTTGCTGGCTGTACATGGTCAGACTGTTTCACTGCTGAGGTAGAAGTTGTCTTTTTGGCAATATCAGCCATAAATTTTGTTCTGTTTTGTTCCATATTTTGACACTAAAACCATTGTGGCAGTAACCATATGATGATGAACATATAGGATATACTAATTTTAGTTTTTAAATAATTAATAATAATTAAATGGTAATTATTATTACAGATTATATATATATCGTGTATCAGTGGCGTGCTGTGACATTTGATAATGGAAGCTGTGTTTCTATAAGAAGCCGACTTCCAGGGGCAATCAGTTAATTCTTTCTTTAAATGTATTTTTAATAGATTATTTATCTGACGTACTTAATAATAAANTATATATATACTTACACTTATATATACTTATATATATGTAATGTTTGTTTGTTCTTATATTGTATCATATTTTATATTTTTAAAAGACTAGTAATTCTGCTTGATCAGAGAAATTTATTACTTTTGTGTATTTAAATGGTTTTTCACAATTTGTGGAAACCTTAGTTTTTTGAACTTCTTAGATTACTTATTATAGATTGTATATACGTGTATTGTTCCACAATTCTTGTGATATTTATTCTGATATAGCCGCATTACTAGTCTTTAAAGCAATTATTGAAAGATAACCAGATTGGGATTTGCTTTGAAGAAAAGAAAATGAGAAAAAATTCCACAGATCACAATTACTTCAAAATCATTATTACCTTGGTTCACCTTTGTCTTACTTTTTTTTTTTTTAAGTAACTCCTTTTTCTTTTTTTTTTCCGAGAATCAACAATCATCATTTTCAAGCTTTAAAAAATCATATTTATTGAGGGATCCAAGAGAAACTACTTGTAAATATATGGAATCATAATCCTCCAGTGCGAGTACCCTGGCTTCTGATTCCCAGCAGCTTTTTCTTATTGCTTCAATAAACTGCTCATCAAGACAAAAAAAAACAATTATGGCAAATTTATATCGAAATGACTGTTACATTATGAATTTGATTGTGAAAATCCGAGGTTGTCCAGGAGCTGGTTTGGAAGCGGTATTAATATAACAGATAATTTAGCAAAGCGGGTTCAAACCAGAGCCTTGACAATAGGCGGTTGAAAAGAAATTACGTTAATTTTATTTTTTGTCTCCGTTGTCGAAATCAGTGTTGTATAATAGAACTTTTTATATCAAATTTCATCCATTAGCATTCACTAAAACTTTACTTCATATTTATTTTCTTAAAAACGTACCAGGAGTGGGCTATAACTAGTGTGTCTTTCTGCCCATGCCAAAGCCAGCTCTTGGTAAACCAAAAACACAGGATGTTGGTTTCATAATACTGGATCATCTCTTTTTATTGTTAAAGATGACAGGAAATAGTGAAACCAGGATATTTATCTAGCAAAGATGAAAGAGCATCCTCTGGGTTTGTGATTGTGGATTCACTGTATATAATAAGCACTATTCCATTGAAATCCTTTGTGATCCATCACCACCTGATTTTACATATCCTGTTAATGTAAGTTAATAAGCCAAGTATTAAAAAGTGTCTGTGGAATGATGTTGTCTGTCTATAAGGAAGATTTTTGTCTGTTAAATTTACAACTTATTTTTTAAAAAAATTCTGAATTCTATGCAACACTTCAACTTCAGAGAATGCTCTCTCTCTGATTAAAAATATCAAACGATTTAGTCTTTAAAAAAAGGTTCAAAGATTGAGAAATTCAATTTTTGTCACGGAAGGTCACGAATTTTACGCACTCTTCAAAGAACTTACACGGTGACATTCAATTGTCTAACGCTATCGGTCGAATCTACGATCACAAAAATGTAATTGTGACAGTCGGGAAGATGTTTCAAAATAACACACCTTAACCAAAGCGACATCAACATTTTGGCCTTGGCGCTCGTGATTTTATTAATGCCGCGGTCACGTGAGCGGAATGTCAACGTCTCGGTGACGCTGGGTAAAATTCAAAGGAGAAAACAAGTAGAAACGTCATGGTAGTTCTGTGGGAAAAATATAGGAAAGAAATCAGCCACACAACAAATCGGTCGACACATTCAAGGTTAGAACAGGTCGTTCACACCGACGTCACTTGACTTCTTTCCCTAACCTACCAGAGGGGATTTTAAGACATTACTCACACAAACAATAGCGTTCAAGGTTAGTCATCGCGAAAGCATCGAGATACCGGGCCACCATAGTTGCATCCATCGAAAACTCGGCATAATCGACGTCATTAAGACCCCAGCCGGGTTAGCATCCAAGTGTTTTTACATTAGCGAAAGTGGTATCGGTGCCTTTTGTCGAGTTTGGACGACCGGACCTTCGAGGTGGCGTCACTGCAATCACGTGTTTCGTATGCACAAAGCCCCGGGCTTCGCCGACACATGGGTCTCGGTTCCCCAAACTGGGGAGTACTGTTCCTGACCGTTGCTTATGCAACTACTCGTTGCTCATAGTGGAAAATGACTAGATCTGTACTCTTGCTCTTCTCCTATATCGCCGCTGTTTGGACGTTTGAACATTTTAGCAGGCTTAGTGAGTAATGTTTATTTCTAAAAAGATTTAAATACCGAAAAGTACGATAACGTAAGTACTGTGTTTTGTATTATATAAACGTATTCAAAGTATTAACAATGGAAACCCTCTTTTTTCCCTCGTAACGACCTTCACTCGAATAGGTTTTCAGCTTCGAGCTATAGAAACGCCACGAAGCAAAACTTTTCACATGACCCAGGAACAGGCGAGACGTTGAACATGTGCGTGTCTAGAGAGTGGAATGATAATTGAACACCTGCAGACGCTCGGGAATTGGCTTAGGGATGTTTGTTGTTAGCAGAAGTTAGTATTTCTGGTGTTCGATACGTAACACACACAAACCTTAAATGTGCAACGTAGGCATTCTGTGGCTCGTTGACGAATCGCGATATCGAAAAGTGGCTCTTTGGGTTACGCTCTCTAACTGCAGTCGAGTTTATTTAGCGTGTGAACATTAGGCGTTACTCGTCACGAATCGCATACAAGTGAACACTAATACGCCTATTTGTCATGGTTAGTTTCGTTTTATATTCTAGTAGAATGCCCACGAAATAGATCCGAAATTAAAATTTCACGTAACGAATTACGTTGCTTTACACACGTACAGTACGTATGTCTGCCCACTCCTAAATACGTAACTGAGAAATTCCTCTGTATATTTTAAGTTCGAAATAGATAGCGTGTGAAAAATAGTAATGTAAACACTCCAAAAGTAATTTTTGATAGTGTAATTATTTGATAACGATCTCGAATAAAACGAAAAATCTCACTTGATTTATATTCGCTGAGGGAATTTACTACTCCATTAATACCTGCTAATAAACACGCTATTAAAATACACACAAAGTAATGATTTTAGCATTAAATTCGAGTTTATTACCTTTCTGTCGACTAATAATGTGAAAGTAATCAAATCCGATTTCACAAGGATGAACTGTTACTCGAATGTACTGTACTGTACCTTTCATACGGATGAAGTATAATTAATTAATTCTGCATGCTGTCGTACGTTACGCGAATTATTCGTCAGCAAAAAAAACGTTATTTTTATTAAAATTTATCGCTTCTATCTCGGCTGTATCGGATCACTTCAGCGAGTAAAGGTCATAACTTTCCCATTATTTATCGAAGCAGAGAAGAGTTTCCTCTCGTTACGACCTCGGAGAACAGATGCACTTTTATTCCATACATTTCCTGAATTGTACACAAGTAAAGTCAGTTTCTTACTCCCCCCGTAAATTTTAGGAATTCACTCAAAAAATTAAAAATGTCCTCAAACGCACTATTTTGTTTTTGCAACTTTTGTAGCAATTTCCTCTAAAAAAATGTGTCTGTCACCGACTGTGCAATTTTCTACGATATCTCTATAGATTAACCTTTATAGGTTTTTCTGATTATACAAATCTTTTTTAATTTGTGTAAAATTAATTTTAGAAAATTTAAAAGCGAAGCCATATTTGCTCCATAAAAGACAGTACTAAAAAAAAGCTGATTTTATATATTACGTATATTTGGCATGTAATAAAAAAAGAATAACGTACGAGAAATTTTTATAGTGATGATGATACGTGGTACAGAAATTTTACAATTTTAAAACCGAGTAAAATCGCCGAATTCCATTTTAAAATGTTTGACTGTCCATTTTGAAATTATTTCCGATAACTGTCACGGGTGGCGCTGCTATTAAAAAGTTGCCAATTAACTAACGAACTCGTGAATGACCGAACTTAATATAAATGGAAGTCATTTGTAGTATGTCCTGTTCTCCCCAGATATCTGTTTCACGGATATTTGACTCTCCCTTTACCGATAACCGGTTACACGTGCAACTACTACCTGTTAGTTTCCAGTAGCAGCTATTGCTATTCCCTAACCTGTCGTTTCTAGTAGTACAGACACGGCACGAACTGCACAGAAGTCTCATTTACGAATGTTTTCACCTAAGTTCAGAGATAAGTGCTACACAAATGGCCAAAGTTTTTAAAGATCGGTAATTTATAAGACGTTTAGAGTACTTTTTTTTTCAATGAAAAATAATAATACCAAGTCGAGAAACTTTGGCTCCATTTTACCTAATAGATCATATTTTGATACTAGATTATTAAACGCAGTAAAAGCCGTGTACTAAATATATGTCATTGTGCTAAGCGTTAATGAGTAACACGATGTTTTATTGTTGCGATATTGATTGTAGAGAGGGAGTGACCTTATAACAGAGATAGTTGATCTAAAAATAGAAGTTGTGTTGCCATTTCGACTGGCATATGACTAGGAAGTTGGGTTCAAGGTGAATGACCGGGTCAAGTTCAACTTCGGTGACTTCCGCGTCGCCGATTTTCACAAGATGCTCCACATTGATTCGGCGACGACTAGTGCACTCTTTTGTCTCTTAAGAAACCGGATAATTGATTGTGTACGGTTAGGAAAATTCTTTGAAGTGTTGATTTGAATGTCTGTTTTCGGGTCATAATTACAAAAAAAAAATCATTATAAAATCTTAAGAAACATGTTCGCTATGACAAGCATGAAGTCGATTTCACAATACCGAACATTTCCAATAATCGTGACGTTTAAACTTTTAGCATTTCTAAATTTTAATGGAGTATAAAATTAAATATAAAATTTTTAAAAATCATGAAATAAAATTTGCGAGTCAGCGCGCACATGTTTTCGAACAAGAACTAGATTATAGTTCTTAACGACGTCTCCAGATGGCACTAACGGTTAATAACGTAACTAAAAAGTAGGAATTTNAATATAATTATTGATATTCAAGGAAATGTCTCGTTTAAAATTTTAATTATTACTATGTATGCTTTCAAGAAAAATATTCTAATGATATAATAGTTACACAAAATGAATTTATGAGAATAGTATATTCATAGATTTAGAATTAGCACTATTATTATTATGTTATTTATCATCAATCAATCAAATAAGATTTTATTCATATACCATATGATTAGACTTAAACTTTTTAATATTTTACTTTGATCTATGGATTTTCTTTTTTTGCATTGTAACAATGACGTAAATACAATTTTTTTTTTTCCCTTTAGAATTTTGGATTTATTGTCTTTGAAGATCCTGATTCTGTTCATAAAGTTCTGGAAAAGAAAGTGAGTTATAAATTATAGTTTTGATGACAATTTTATATATATATATATATTCTCATTCCCTGCCCACTAGTGACCAAGCGGTTCTGTTCCCTGAACACTGGGAGTTCGGTTGTGGGTTCGTGCCATGCCCAGACAGGCTGGCCACATAGTTTTCTGGTTTTCTCTAATTGGTAATGTCTGAATATGAGCCAGTTACCCTTAAAAACACCTCTCGGAAGGCACCCCGTAGGCAGATCACCAAGTGTTGCATTGCCGTAACTTAACTAAACAAACTCAGACTTTCCCAGCACAGTATTTGATTTGCAACCATCGTACATGAAAAATCAGTCATATTATTTAAAATTTGGAATTAAAATAATATATTAATGTAAAGTGTACATTTTGTTGTTTTAAATTTAATTTCATAATGACTGCATCTTTTGATCCATTTCTGTTTTATCTATCTAGCCTTTCTCTTTTGTTTTCTCCATTATTATTAAAAAGTTTCTTCAATTTGATTTAGCTACATAAAATCAATATTTACTAGTGATTGGTAATAAAAAAAATTTCTCCAAATGATCAATTTTCTCAGATAATTAATTATGATAAATAAAATCTCAGATAAATGATCTACTAATTCAAACCTTTTGTCACTATTATATGTAGAAAACTTTATTGAAATTCTCATTTAGACTAGTGCTGGCAGAAACTGGAAATTTTCTTAATCTGGTTTCAGCAAAACTGGTTTTTAAATATCATATGCCAAACTGGTTTGAATTCAGTATAGTTAACATTTTATTAAAAGTATTATAGTAAATATTTATTATTCAATATTAATTTATTTGCCTGTATCACATAGTACTTTTATCAAAAAGAGGCCAGTGGTTTTTTTTCCTTCTTCTTCTTTCTTTTTATGTTGGTAAATGCTGGGGTCTAAGTATTTAACAAATAGCATTTGGAAACTGTTTTAAACTAAATTTATGTTAGTTTTCACATAATTTTTAAATTTTAAACACAAGTAATGCATGGCATTATTTTAAAAAAGTCAAAGATGGTATATTGGTGCCATGTACAAATTAATGTTATACTGAAATTTTCCAGTAATATACATTACAAATCCAAATAAACTTCACTTCCAATTAAAAGTCAGAAAAGGCAAGTAAACCTAATGATTCCAGTTTCATTGCCTGGTTTTTAGTTTTGCAAAAGATGTGGTTTAACCAAATGCCAGTTGATCATATTTAAAAAGAAAAAAAAAACAGTTTTTTGCCAAAACTAATTCAAATTAATGTTTATTGACACTGATTGTTACTGTACATTTTATAATTTAAACAGTATTTTTATCAGATTGGTGGCATCTATTTTTCAATGTTATTCAAAGTTCAAATAAAATCTAAAATTGGCTAACTTCAATTTTTCCTATAGAATTTATGGTTTATTAAAAAAGTATTTTGTTAAATTTTAGAGTTAAAACAAAATAACTGATTCTAAAGCACTTTCATTTTTTAAAAAAAATTTAACTTGATACTGATTTTACTATACGGGAAGGCACATAATTATGTACTCTTTATTTTATTTTTGAAATACGTACTTGGGATTAGTATGTTGTATCCATTACTAGGTATGTTTCCTGTTTAGTTGAAGGATTTTCAATTCCTTACTGGTTGTCAACATGGCACTCCACAGAATTGATGCATAAACTTGTGTCTTCTAGTCTCTTCAAAAACTTTGTCTAAAATGACCAGGATGGTGAATCTTTGGTATCTTTGATGCACACTGTCAACTACTGGTTAGCCCTCAATTTTATTATATAAATTCTATCTTTGATGAAACTACATGAGAGGAAGTCTAATAGGGGAATGTTAACAAGCATGGGGGATCATGGCAATAAATTTTACACCT